GCTGATTTCTATCAATAGCACTCATCTCTCTGTGTTGTAGTGATCTGTTTACACTGCATGACAGTCTGGGATATTAGAGTGTGAACTCTGCAAGGTCATTTACTCTGTTGTATTCATCTTGGCATCCTAAACTGTAACACAAGCCCTGGGCTGAGAGAAGGCTTTAGTTGTGAAATGGATGGGTGAGCAGTTTGCCAGCCACTTTGAGTTACTCCCCCATTTGTAAAGCCCACTTTAAATCTCATCTGCAGTATGAAGCCTTCTTTGATTTTCCTCTGCTATGAAGAATGTCTTTGTCAATCATAGGCACTAAATTATAATTATTGGTCATCTTTTCTTCTGAAAAAAATGTTATTACTAAATAGATACCTCTACTTATATTGTAGGGAGAGACCAGATATTGCATTTGATAATCTTCTTTCACAGTTTTTCATGTGTGGTATGTACTGGATCAACATACACTAAATTCAGTTGAGTAGATTAACTTCCTCGAGGGCTATGTTTGCATGCTGGCTAACAAGTCTCTGCAGAGATGTCAACCTCAAGCAAAGAGGATGCAGGAGAAGTGTGTTCCTATTGTCTATGTGCAATATGGGATTTGTCCATTAACAGAGCCTAAGAGTCTCCATGTTAAATTATACTACATCTGTGATATTACCTTAAAATAATTGCCATATAAACAGTGGCAGTAGAATTACAAGAGCTGTCTACTCTCCTTCAAAATTAATTTGCTTTCCCTGACTTTCGTGTCCAGGAGAAACATATAACACACACCTACCATCTTTAAGCAATATGGTGTTTTCTTCCAAGACTTAGGCACTTATTTCGAGAAAAGACTTTTATCCTCAGATGAGTTTGTAAATAGCACACTACTTTGGTCCTCTCGTGTGTTTGCAGATCATATGCTGCATTTTTCTAGTTAGAGATGGAACAAACTCAGTTTACTTGTGTTGGGGAGAAATACTCATGATTCATTTCATGGTGTCAATATCATAACACATTTTCTGGTGTGATTAGTCTTTAAAAGCATTGTACATGGGCATGAACATGCTCTAACATGCTCGGATGTTTTTCTTAGACAATCAAATTTTGTAAGATTCCATAAGTTTTATCCAGTATGCTATTAAGGTAGCATTGTAGTCCTCAACTTACGGAAGGAAGAGTAGGAATACAATACTTTTTGTTTCCTTTAGTTACCTCTTTCTAATGTGGTTCCTCCATATCAGGATTGACACCTTAAGGCCCATGGGCCAAATCTGGCCAGCCTCCTCCTTTTGTTTACTGCAACATGGCCACACCTATTAGTGTTTGTATTATGTGTGACTCCTTGGGCTTATGGCCCACCAGACTAAAATAGTAATATTTACACATTTGGTCCTTTACAGGAAAAGTTTGCTTACTTGCTCTAAATCCTTTACGAACACATTTATATTTCCAGTTAGCCAGGGGATAATCCATCCAGTTCAGAGTTTATTTGTGGTTATTCTGGAACCCTTACCTTATTAAGGTGCCCAGGTTTCTCTGCCTCTATAGCCCTCTATTCTTATGCCTCCTGTAGTACTGCAGCTCTCTGTCTCAATCCCTGTTTCCTGGAATGGAAGGACAAGAGCAACTTCTTACTCTCCTTTGCAATTCCCAGAGCCCAGTACAATGTCTACACTTAATTAATGCTCACTGTTCATGGAATGAACAAATGAATTACATTTCCTAGTCATAGCATAAAGCAGCCTTTTTCTATACGTAGTTTATCCGAGACTTTGAATGTTCTAGAAACCACTTCTTTCTAATAATAAAAGGATTTTTAAAAAGGATTTTACCTTCATAATTATATTTCCTTTGGGCTTATGTGAAAATTAGTTTACATTACAAATGAGTTTACATTTCCCCAGCTCTTATCCAACATTAGTTCTAACTATGTTAGATATTAAGCATAAATCTCTTCGAATTAAAGAAATCTTGCAGTCTATCCCAGTTTTGTATAGTTAATTGAAAAGTAAATGAATTTCATCAGGGTTTTAGTACTCAGAGATGGCTGATATGATGTCTTGTGTATTATTTATTCATTCATTCCAGCAATACTTCTTTAATGTCTCAGATGTCATAAGTGGTAAGGAAATATCAGTAAACAAAACTAAATTTTCACTGTTGTGGAGTTTACATTCTTATCCATGTAGGTGGTAACCAACAGTAGAAAACCATCAGCTGGTGGCAAGGGCCAAAGAAAATTAAAACAGGTGATGTAAGAGTGAGTAAGCAGGTAACAGTTTAAACGACTTAGCAGTGAGATATTCCTTTGAGAGAGTGGCATTGGAAATAGAATCTGAATGATAAGAAGTGGCCATGTGAAGATCATGGAGAATTTAATTCTAGGAAGAACAAATAGCCAGGGAAAAAGCTCTAAATCAGGGAAGGAGCTTACTGTGTTTGAGGAACAGAAGGAAAGCACATGTGGCATATATAGTGTGCAAAAGAGGGGTGGGGAAAGAGGAGATCTGGGAGGTAGGTAGGTATCAGGCAGGATATAGCCTGTCGTGAGGTTTAGGCAGAGGCTTTGTTCTGCTCTAGCTTTAAAGGAGCTGAAGGAAGATGGTTAATCTTGACTTTCTGGTGTTTGGTCAGCGCCTAGAATGGCCCAGGGAGTATGTTGGATAGTTGACCTGCTGCTGGCCAGGTCAGCTACTCACACAGCAGCCGAGGCTCCAGGGGTTCACCCTGTATAACTCCAGACCCACCTACCTCCCTAGAGGGTTGTATGGAGCCTACCTTTGTGGTCGTTCCCAGGTTAATAGGCCTGCTAGGCCATCATCTAGGTCCCAGAAAAACAAAGGGGATGACCACCTCTATGAACACCTGTCCAAGGAAGCACCCTTGAAAGCTATCTTTATCTTATTATTTGCATGGAAATATACGTGCATCATATGCAGATAAAATGACTTCTTAACAAAAGGCTGGGTTGCAGAGAGTATATGTGTCAGGATAATGTTGCCTAAATGGGCTGGTGAAAAATAGTTGCCTAAATGAGAATGTGTTTAATCTACTTAACTGTTTCGAGACATATTGTGTTACTATTATTAATGTTTAATTAAAATAATAAATGTATGTGGTGTATCACCCTGCAGTTGGATATGTACACAGGATAAAACATCTGACAAATTCAGACATTTTTTATTCCATAAACATTTTAAACCATTAAACATTCGGCCAAGCCAATCCTTAGCATCAGACTCACAGAATGAACAGATATTGTGATTAGATATTTATATGGCATTGAAAAAAGAGCTTTCGGATGTTATTGATATTACTAAAATTACAAAGGTTGTCAGATTCATTCCTCCAGTTTTCACAGTAAGCAATTGCTTTAGTAAAATGCTGTTTCTTCCCCACCTAGTTTCTGTGTAGACATAGCTTACCATGCTATTATGGTATTGTTGGCAGCTTGCAAAATCGTCATCTTGCTGTGGTTTGGGCCACTTGCTGAAGTCAGGGCCTAAGGGTGGGTGTAAATCAAAGCTGGGAGGAGGAAGATGGGGAAAGGTCTTTTTTAACAAAGAAAAGCAACCCAGTGGGAGTGGAGACTGGCAATCTGTTAAAAAGGAAATGAAAGGAAATTCTTCATTTCTAAACAGTTTATTGACCCATGATAATAAAGCAGCCCTGCCAAAAAAGGGATAGTTATCTTTTTAAGTATCAAATGCCCCATGGGTGAAGGCCTCTCCCTTCTCCTCTCTTGAAAAATAAACTCATATTAAACAAATGCTCCTTTGCTTAGTTTACAGTTGACATGAATTTCCTGATTATGAGCAAAATTAATCAGTGTTCCCTCTCCTCCCCCTGCTTTTATGAAAATCAGGCCTGCCCAGTGGAGTGCAGTACATTTGCCCCTGGGCCTGAGTCCCATTATGGGCCTGATGCGCTAAAATGCTTGATATTCTGGTGAGACTAGCAATTGTTGTATTGTGATTTTACTATGACCTTTAGCTACTTAGCTCCAGGCAGAAGCATGTTCTCCTAAAACAATAAGAAAAAAGGCCAAAAGAGAAAAACAGAAAACAACATTATAGTGATTTTTCTCCTGCTGATATGTAAAAACTTCACAAAAGTTGGTATGTCTCGTGTGTGCATGTATGTGGGTATATGTGTTTATACCCACATATATATCAGTTCAAATACAAAAAGAAGCTGATGTGTTATTAATGATGTAATATTGAATAATAATTTGCTATCAACAAATGATTGAGTGTATATATCCATTTTCTCTAGATCTTGTTTGTTTAGACCAAAAATGCAAATACGTTGATTTGCCTAATTTACAGAATACACTGAAATACTTTTGTTTGCAAGAGCAGACAACCCTTTTCTTAACTTAATGATTTACCTTCAACTGCCTTCTTTAATTCTTAATCATCAGTTTCAGGAATCCTTGTCATAAATTCTTTAACCATGTGAACATCTGTAGGTTATAGAGGAAGTTCATTGTATGTTTTCAGAATGTCTACACTAGTTTAAAAAATAAAATAAATAAAATTACTATTATATTTTCACTACATGTTTCTCCAAAGAGATATTAAAATTAAAATTTTCATCATGATGCGCTAGGTAGAGAAACCAGCTGGATATTCCAGTTGTTTTCCCAGCCCCTTGGGCTGCTTGAGACCCCAGTGCATTAGAAGAAGGGTCAGGAAATAATGGTCCAGAATAGAGCTTACCTCTTGGCATAATTTTCTCAGCCAGCACTTGAGTCTCTCCAAGTTACTGATATCCCTTGCTCTTCACAGAATTCCTCCAGCTCAGCACAGCTTCTCCTTCAAAGTAGAATTAACTATGTTTGAAAGTCTTTTTGAATTCCTTGGAGTTTGATTGTTGGCAAGCGTTTGTTGGATTTTATTTAGTCTTTGAGAGTTCAGGCCTGGGTCAAGGGGATTCAATACTGTGGGTATAAACTTCTTGGTAAGAATATTACCAAAAGCAAGCAAAGTGTTCCTTAGCAGACTTCACTACAGATGTCCTCGTGTGTCCACTTCGGCCAGTGGAGCGCTTTCGAGATCTGCATCCTGATGAAGTGGCTGATTTGTTTCAGGCAACTCAGAAAGTCGGCACAGTGGTGGAAAAGCATTTCCAGGGGACTTCTCTTACCTTTTCTATGCAGGTGAGTATACAGATACTCAGAAATTAGTTTTCTTCCTTTCTAAATATTAGTGTTGAGCTTTGTCCCCCTTTTAACTGGCCATCTCACAGGGAAGGCAATTGTGGTTATTTGTGTCTTACATAATAGTCAAAGAAGATATAACAAATTCAGGACCACCTTACTGCCCACCAGCCCCACGTGGACTGTGGAATATCAACTGAGATAACATCTGCAGCATTGTTTATAAGACAGGTGGAAGTAATGGACACATATTTAATGGGCATTACAACATTCCAGATCTTTTACTAGAACTAGGGCTGAACAAGTCATTTTGATTCAATGGTAACTGTGTTTTAAGCACTGCCTGAGCTTAGCCCTGTTCAACTTCCAGTGGGGTGAAGATATGCAGGCTAGGCGGGGTCTTGCTCTCAAAGGGCAGACCCTTTCTCTGTCTGTAAACCAAGCTTCAGCGATTGATTATGGATTGGCCAGAAGCTGAACTAACTGAATATTTGGTGTGACCATCCTCCTAGTAAGGAAATGAGACCCTGAATCACTTCAGATGTTCAAGCACAGGCTGAGTCAACCCTTGTCATAGGGTGCCCCAGACAAACAGTTGGGGTATCAGTACACATTGAAGTCCTTTGTGGCCTTGAAAGTTGGTGACGCTGCAAAACCCTTTGGAATGAAATGAATTATTCCATAATATAAGGGGGGACCAAAAAATCAGAATTTATTTATGAAAAATTGTGTATTTATTCATATGTGTTTAAACTTCAGTTACCTTCAAAGCACTCTCCATGATGCAATACACCTATTGAGACATTTTTCCACTGCTCAAAACAGTTTTTGAACTTGTCAATTTTGATGCCTTTTAGTGCTTTTGCTGGTTTTTGTTTCACCTCTTCCACATTGGCAAAATGTTTTCCTTTAAGGAATTTTTTCCCCCCAAGGAAACGAAGGTCTCTCTTGGTGAGAGTGGGTGAATAGAGAGGGTGGAGCATGGGGGTCATTCTGGTTTTGGTCAAAAACTGCAGAAAATTCAGCACAGTGTTGGCAGGTGCACTCATAAATCACCCATAATGCAATGGGCAAATGTGTTGAAAATGTCTTAAAAAATTCACTGAAGCTGAACACAGCTTCTCACAGCAACACCAACTGTAACACTGATACACATGGGATACTAGAACAATCACTTAGCAGGGCGAGTTTACAAGGAGCTTGCCCTCCAGAAGATAATTCCCCAGGGAGTTTTTTTCCTGGCTCATCCCTCATAAAAGACCCTATACCCAAGGCTTTAGTTGAAGTGAGTATTAGAGGAACTATTCAGCTCCTGAGGTCTCTACCAAAGGCAACAGATAAATAAAGTCACTGTTTTCAGGTTATGAAAGGCTCTGACTAAAAATGCTCATTTGCTTCTCAAAAAAGACTTCTTGGCCACTATATCTATTTTAATAGTATCTAAACTTCGCTGTAAAACCTGGATCATGTGTATGTGAGGCTAGGTGGTATGTCAAACCATTTGGGTTAACTTCAGACAGGTTGTTAGGCTCAGGGTAGATCTATCAAGCCTGTGCTGCAAATCTTGTTTTCAGAGGGCCCAAATGAAGGTAAGTCAAGGAAGACATCTGTCAGTGCTTAGGAAAATACTAAAAGAAAAATCACATATAGAGAAATGGCTAGTACTGGTTCTCTAACATGATTCACTAGAAAGTTAATTTGATAAATATAGGAACTGACTTGTGCTTTGAGTAGTTTCACATATACAGTCTTTTCAAACATTTTTTATTGTTTATTGTATTATAGTTGTCCCAATTTTTCCACCTTTGCTTCTTCTGCCCACCCCACTGCCCATTCTCACAGTCCATTCCCACACCATTGTCCATGGCCATGGGTCATTCATACATGTTCTTTGACTACTCCCTTTCCCTTCTTTCCATTCCTCTCCTCTACCTCCCCTCTGGCCCCTGTCAGTCTGTTCCATGTTTCCTGGTTCTATTTTGCTTGTTAATTTATCTTACTCATTAGATTTCTTTTATAAGTAAGATCATATAGCATTTGTCTTTCACCACTTGGCTTATTTCACTAAGGATGATAATCTCTAGTTCCAACCATGTTGTTGCAAAAGGTAGGAGTTCCTTCTCTTTTTCTGCTGTATAGTATTCCATTATGTAAATGTTCCACAGTTTTTTAATCCAGTCATCTACTGATGGCCACATAGGCTGTTTCCAGCACTTAGCTATCATAAATAGCACTGCTATGAACATAAGAGTGCATAAGTTCTTTTGAATTGGTATTTCAGGATTCTTAGGGTATATTCCCAACAGTAGAATTGCCAGGTCAAAAGCAGATCCATTTTTGATTTTTTGAGAAAAATTCCACACTTTTCCACTGTGCCTGCAACAGTCTGTATTCCCACTAACAATGTACTAGGGTTCCCTTTTCTCCACCACCTTGTTGTTTGTGGATTATTAATGATGGCCATTCTGAGAGGTGCAAGGTCATAACTCATTGTGATTTTAATTTGCATCTCTTTGATGGCTGGTGATGATGAACATTCTTTAATGTGTCTTTGGGCTCTCTCTATGTCCTCCTTGGAGAAGTGTCTATTCAGGTCCCTTGCCCATTTTTTAGTTGGATTGTTTGTCTTCCTGCTATCGAGTCCTATGAGTTCTCTATATATTTTGTCTGATGTATCATTGGCAAGTATCTTCTCCCATACAGTTGGTTCATATTTTATTCTGATGATGGTTTCTTTGGCCATGTAGAGGCTTTTTAATTTGATGTAGTCCTATTTGTTTATTTTTTCCTTTGTTTCTTTTGCCTTAGGAGATATGTCATTGAAAATATTGCTACACAGAATATTTGAAGTTTTATTTCCTATGCTTTCTGCCAAGACTTTTATGCTATTGCAACTTATATTTAAGTCTTTTGCTCATTTTGAGTTCATTCTGGTGTATGGTGTAAATTGGTGGTCTAGTTTCATATTTTGCACGTACCAATCTGGTTAAAGGAGTCAATTTTGTTTATCTTTTTAAAGAACCAGTTCCTGGATTAATTTATCCTTTGTATTTTTTTAGTCTCTATATCATTTAATTCTTCTCTGATCTTGATTATTTCCTTCCTTCTACTCACTCTGAGCTTTGTTTGTTGTAGTTCCTCTACTTCTTATAGATGTAAGTTTAGGTTGTTTATATGATATTTTCCTATCTTCTTTAGGTAGGCCTGTATTGCTATGAACTTTCTTCTCAGGACTGCCTTCTCTGTGTCCCATAGATTTTGGGTTGTTGTGTGTTTATTTTCATTTGTTTCCAGTTACTTTTTAATTTAATTTTTTCTTTGATCTCATTGTTAACTCATCCATTATTTAATAACATGAGATTCAGTCTCCATGTATTTGATTGTTTTTGAGATTTTCCCCTTGAAGTTGGTTTCTAGTTTCAAACCATTGTGATCTGAGAAGATGCTAGACATGATTTCAATTTTCTTGAATTTCTTGAGGTTGATTTTCTGTCCTACCATGTAGTCTGTCATTGAAAATGATCCATGTACAGTGGATTGAGTGCAGGCCTGTGAACCAGAGTATCGCGGTTCGATTCCCAGTCAGGGCACATGCCTGGGTTGCAGGCCAATTCCCAGCAGGGGACACATAAGAGGCAACCATACATTGATATTTCTCTTCTACTCTTTCTCCTTCCCTTCCCCTCTCTCAAAAAATAAATAAATAAAATATTTTTTTAAAAAAACTTTTAAAAAAAGAAAAGAAAATGATCCATGTGGATTTGAAAAGGGTCTGTAATTTGCTTCTTTTGGGTGAAATGCACCATAAAAATTAATTAAGTCCATTTAATCTAGAGGGCTGTTCAATGCCATAATATCCTTGTTGATTTTTGGTTTGGGCAATCTATCCATTGTTGACAGTGTGGTGTTAAAATTCCCTATTATGACTATATTGCTGTGGATCTCTTTCTTAAAGTCCTTCAAGTTTTTTCTTATATATTTAGGTGCTCATATGTTGGGTGCATATATGTTTACAGGGTTATTTCCTCTTTTTGGACTACTTAAGTATTACACGATGACCTTCTTTGTCTCTTGTTATGGCCTTTATGTGGAAGTCTATTTTGTCTAAATATTGCTACCCCAACTTTTTTTTCATGTCCATTTGGAATCCCCCCCCCCCGCATTTTTTCACCTACTGCCTATGTAGACCTTTTGTTTTAAGGTGGGTCTCTTGTAGACAGCATATATATGAGTCATGTTTTCTTATCCATTCAATTACCCTATGCATTTTGATTGGAGCATTTAATCCCTTTACATTTAGGTTATTATTAATAAGTATTTATTCATTGCAATTTTTTTCTTTTGTACATGTTTTCCTCTCTTTCTCTCTATTTCTTTATCTTTCTAAAGCAGTCCGTTTAGCATTTGTTGCAATGCTGGTTTAGTGAGATGTACTTTTTTTTTTTTGGTCTGGGAAACTCTTTATTTTCCCTTCCAGTTTAAATGAAGGCCTTGCTGGATAGAGTAGTCTTGGTTGCAGGCCTTTGCTTTTCATTACTTGGAATATTTCATGCTATCCCCTCTTGTCAGGTAGTATTTCTGTTGAGAAATCAGCTGATAGCCTAATCGGAGATCCCTTGTACATTTCTCCCTTGCTGCTTTTAAGATCCTCTTTTTGTCTTTGAATTTTGGCATTTTAATTATGCTGTGTTTTGGAGTGGGCCCCTTTGGTTTCATATTGATTGGGACCCTTGGTGCTTCCTTAACTTGCATGACTTTTCCCCTCGCCAATTTAGGGAAGTTTTTCTGCCATTATTTTTTTCAAATAGGTTTCCTATCCCTTGCTCCTTTTCTTCTCCTTCTGGATACTTCTATGATGCAAACATTGTTATGTTTCATGTTGTCTTGCAGCTTCCTTAAACTATCTTCACCCTTTTTGAGTCTTTTTTTAATTTTGTTGCTCTGACTGGGTGTTTGTTTTTTTAACCTTGTCATCCAACTCACTGATTCAATCCTCTGCTTCATCTAGCTTGCTTTTAATTCCCCCTAGTGTATTCTTTATTTCAGATACTGTGTTCTTCATTTCCTCCTGCTTCTTATTCATGGTTTCTATGTCCTTTTTCATGATGATGTAGTTCTCACTAAGTTCCCTATAGATACTATATAGTTTCTTGTTGTTCTCACTGAATACCTTGAGTATCCTTATAACCATTACTTTGGACTCTATGCCTGACAAACTGCTTGCCTCAATTTTATTTAGCACTTTTTCTAGGGATTCTTCCTTTCATTTCAATTGGTAGTTGTTTCTTTGTCTCCCCTTTTAAGTGACTCCTTTCATTTGTCTATGCATATTAGATTGATCTGCTTTGATTCCCTGTCTGTGGGGTGGGCTTCTGTGGTAGGAGACCAGCTGGGACCCAGTGGTGCAGTCTCCTCAGTAGTCACTCAGTGGTGATTTCCTGAGCTGGATGCTCTAGGGATGCCCTTTATGCAGGTTATGTGGGCTCTCTTGTTGCAATTAGGTTTTGGTTGTTATTGGCTTGTTTGTTGGTGAGTTTTCCCCTATGGCTTGTTAACTGAGAGTTACAATACCCACCACATCTTGTATGGTCTTATACAGGCGCTGCCAGAACAAAAGAAAGCAACCTAGCAAAAAAGCCCACACCAAGACAAATATCCCTTCAGCTACAACCACGATCACAATATCAACAACAAATGAGCAAATGTTAATAAAAGTGGAAATAGAATAATAATTTTATAAGAAAGAAAAAAGAATATGAGATGACTAACAAAAAAGTGTTTTGGAGAGTGTAGAGAAAGGGGAAATAATAAGAATAGGGAATAGAAATAAGGCAAAGAAAAGGGAGAAAATAAAATTTAAAATATAAATTAAAAAGAGAGGTAATAAGGCAAAATGGAATAAGAAAGAACAATATAATGTGAAGTTTGAGATAAAAAATAGTGAAAAATTGGGGAAAATGACCACCACTGCAACATCCACAACAACTGAGCAAAGAAATAAAAATGAGAAGAAAATAAGGATATCATAGGAGAGAGAAAAAGAATGTGAGATGACTAGTGGAAAGAAAAATGGTTTTGAGTGGATGGAGGGAGGAGAAATTATAAGAGTGAGGAACAAAAACAAGGCATAGAAAAAGAAAAAAATACAATTTTAAATAAAAATAAGAAAGGGAAAGAAGAAGGCAAAATGGAATAAGAAAAGGAAATAATAAAATATGAGATTTGAAATTCAACTAAAATAAAAAGTAGTGAAATAATAGGACCAAAATTGAAGAAAAAGAATGTTAAAAATCTATGCATAGATATTATAATCTATACTATATATTTTGCATTATTTAAAAATAAGTCAAATAATAACAAAGAATGAGGTGGAATTTGTCTCCACAGAGTTTACTTTTGTCTCCTGTCTTCTCCTTGTGGATCCATCTTTGCTAATGTTAGCTGATATTCCTGTCTAGCCTTTGGCAGCCTGTTTGAAGCTACAAGCAATCCACAATCTGTGGCTGTCTCCTTCAGACTCTGCTGGTCCTTGTTTTTCTGCCCTGATGGCTTTTTATCAGCATAAGGGCCAGGGATGGTTCATCTAATGTTCAACGGCACCACATGTATGACTTCCACCTGCCTTTTGAGGGGACTTCTGGTGTGATAGGGAAGGTAGATCCCTGGTTCTCCCCTGGGAGTCAGTGTTCAGTCTTCAGGGAAGATGGTGGGTGTATTCCACTGCCCCTGTGCCACATGTCTTGGTCTGTCCCAGATTATGTACAGTAATGTATAGTTTCTGATGAATTAGCTATTTAAACACCAATCTGTGTAAAAGGGTAAGTTCTTTTCTGCTTGGTGCTGATAATAACTCTGCATAAGAGCTGAGGCTGTGCGGGGCCCTCAGTACCCCTTGCTGTGCCAATTTCTAATATCTCTGCTCTGCTGGTTTTAATGAGGAACCAACATAGCTTGTTGCATCTGATAAAAATTTAAGGGGTTCTATTGGAGAGTCTCTTTTTCCCCCTGCAGATATACACCTGCCAGGGGGTTCTTGAGCTTAGTCTTACTGTTCTGCAGAGTTTGCAATCCTGCAGGTGAGGGTTGGACACACTTTATTCTTCCCAGAGGTTTGTGTTCTATGGTGTGAGGGGTCCTACCTGGCTGCAAAGAATCTGAGGCAGTCAGCTCTTGCCCATCTCTTCCAGCCCACTGCTCTTGCAGGAGATTCAGACCCTAACTTTCCATTTTATGTGTATCCCCCTTCTCACCAGCTGCACTTGGTGGGGCTCTGAAGTCCTTTTGCTGTGCAGCTTTCTGATTACCCTGCCCAGCTGCATTCAGTGGAAACAAACTGCACTTCCAATCTGATTTCTTTGCTGGTCAGGCAGTTGCACATGCATGCAGGGACCCTACCCAGCCATGCTTAAACTTCCCTTTTAAAGACTCTCTGTGTGGCATCCACACCAAAACAAACACCAAGTTCCTGAACAGTTCTCCATGCACACCACTCCCCCAAACAACTAAAATTCTCTCTTGGTCAGGGCTGACTGTGTCCTGCCAGGGCCTCTGATAGTTTTAGGAGATAGAATTTCTCTCTGGAACTCTCTTGGTTTGCTCTGTAGCTATGAACATGCTGTTCACTGTGTGTGTGCAGCCTGAGTCTCCCCAACTCCTTCTATCCTCCCCAGTCTCTCTTGATTAGGGTTGAAGATTCTCTGTGCAGGACTGAAACTGCCTGCTGTGGAAGGGGAAGGAGCTACTAAGCTGCATTTTCTGTCTGGTCTCTCCTCTCTCTGCTGCAGGTGCCTTGCATAAGGTATTTCCCCTTCACCTTATAAAATCTCTTACAAAACAGTGCAAAGCATATTCTGAACTCCTTGGCTTCAAAAATTCCTATCAGCTGAGATTTCATCGATTGTTCAGATCACTTGTAAGAAGATCAGCTGAAAATCTGTGCTGGGGCACAAGCAAGTGGGTTCAGCTTCCATTTATTCAGCTGTTATCTTTGCAAGCTCAAACTTCTTTTAACTTTAACCCACAGTAAGGTATATATTTATTTCACAAACATGTATACCCCCACATACACATATGTAGATATAGGAAACCAGGATTTCACAAGACAATGTTTACCCATTCTATACACTCTAATAATTTTGTTCAGTTATTTTATTTGTTTTGTTTTATAATTTATCATGAACCATTAAGCTGACTTCCTTACTTACTAATGGGTTGTGCATCCAAGTTTGAAAACCACTGGTTATAGACTTCTTCTTATTCCTGCCCTGCCCACTGACCCCTGCCCCCTCTCCTCCTTGCTCCAGGTCAAGATTTCTCATCCCCTTAGTATGAGTCAGAGAGGTAGAAAGACTTGCCTGAATTTATAATGTCCTAATTGTGGGATTTTTTATTGTATAGACATTTCTTGTTCTGCTATCTCAAACCTGCTAAGCCCCTTTGACTTAGCATTGTGTTTGGTGACTGCAATGAGGTTGCTCATCTTTAACCAAAAAGATGATTTTGTTGGGCCCCAGAAAGCTGAGAGGAAGAACTAGAATGGGGCAAGAGCCCAGCTACAATGAACACTCCGTCTTTCTCCTCCAGGGTCAAACAGCCAGGAAAGGCTGTTTATTCCATAAGAAACAGCCCATCTTGATTAATGAATTATATGTATAGCTGATTTCCTGACTAGAGATTTAAAGTAGTCAGATGTTAATTAAACTACATCTGATTTAAAGGTAATCAAGAGATGTGATACTTTACCTCCCTGAACATTTTCAGATTTCCTTTAATGCAGTTGAAACCATAGCTGGGAGCAAAGAGCGTGTAAAGTTGCAAGGGGTTGGCTCCCTGGATAATTTATATCGTTTTTATACACAACTTCTCATTCTCTGGAAGAAATGGAGAACTGTCTGGTCTGACATAGTTGAAGCAAATGGTTCCCAGAGAATACTATAAATTAACACAAAATGAAATCAGATCTAAATTATTAACAGGCAATATTTCTGAATAAGCAGGAGATACCAGTTCTCTGTTCTCACCCCTGTATTTTTCTTCCTCCTTATAGGATGGTCCTGAAGCTGGACAGACTGTGAAGGTGAGTGCTTATTATGTGCATACAAGTTAATAAAGGGCAATTATGAGCACTAATAAAAACTCACACTGGGTCATTTGCAGCACATTGCTGTTTCATTACATAATCTTCGAGGTCAGAGAGACCCTCAGTGTTAGAGACATAAATCCTGACATTATAACCTATAACAAGCAATATGTTTTCCAATAGTTTACAAGACCTTTACCTTTTGTAATACAATTATTATTGTGCAAATGCTAAAACAGAATCTAAATCAAGGAGTCCTAAAACAATAACTAAAGTCAAGAGACTTCATGCAAGGCAATGTCTAGGAAAGAGCACACATGCTGGGCATGGATTTTTGGGTCCTATTCCAGCCTGGACATCTTTGACAAGGCTCTGGGTTCTTGGCACGGTGTTTTGCCTCTTCATTCTGGAGTGAAGGGCTCACAGATGTGGGCGTCCCAAATTGCCCCTTTACCCCTCAGCCTTGCTTTTCTCTCTGTCCTCTCCACCCACAGACCTACTTTTCCTCCCTTTTTACTTAGTACTAAATTCTAACCTAATGGAGTCAGTGGAGCTCAAAGATGGGTTTTAAGTGTCCTAGAAAAGGAAAGGAGATTTATTAGGATAGTCCCTGCTTCCCCAGTAAAGTAAAAGACAAAAATCCTGTCTGATTCTGAAAGCTGGGTTTCAGCCCCCTGAATTCTTATGCAGTTAGATCACATGCCTAAATCATAGAAAAGTCTCCTCCTCCCCCCACCCCCATGCTAGAATTCAGAAGGAAGTCAGGAGAATTCAGAAGGTGCTAATGTTATACTTTAAAGTAAATTTTTATGGCTCTGACCCTGGTTGTAAGTGTAGAAGATAATGTGGTAATGCTTGGTATCAAACAGTGTTAACATAGTTCTCTTTTGATCTTAGTTTACATATGGCTTTAAAGTTTAGCTTAGCTGCAGTGGAAGTTATAAAATAGAATACCTAGGAAGTACTTCTGAGCAGGGAATGTCTTATAGAAACTGTCGACAAATTTCAAGTAATAAAAAGATTGTTACAGACCCATGATGTGATAGGGCAGAGGGGACACATGGCTTTACCCCACTCCACTGTCCACCCCTACACCAGGCTTCTAAATATGCAAATACTAAAAGTATAATGGAAGTAGCTCCTTTTTGAAACTGCTTCTTAAAATGAAAAACATGAATGTTTAAACCTGGTTACTAGTTTTTTTTAAAACTCAATATTCAAATGTAAATTCTGTAATACTAGATTAGTTAGATGCATCATGGAACATCCATCTGATCAAATTTCTTCAGCCCTTGACAATAACACCATACAGGCATGGCTGCTAACACGGGGGTATCACAGACCAAAGCAAGTGGAAGGCACAGATTGGTAATATGTATGTGCCACACATAGCTAATATTTATATGAATATATAGTTTATAGGATCTTGACATTTCATTTCAGAATTCTGAAGGGGACATGAAAATCATTTCTATACAAGCAGGCTTTGCATATAGACAGAACACAGTTGAGTGGTTAGTGGGGGCCGGAGACTGAGGGGTCTGGGGAGTAACTACTGTTGGGTCAGGGTTTCTTTGTGGAGTGATAAAGACGCTGTGGAATTAAACATTGGTGATGATTGTGCAATTTTGTGAATAGTATAAAAAGTAATGAATTGCACATTGCAATATGGTAAAGGTTATGGTATTTGGATTACATTTCTATTAAGAATAATAAAATGAGACACATATTAAAAAACCAGCAAGAGCTAAGCCTAGCAGGGCTGAGCACCCTGGCTGTAGACCCTCTAACTACCATAGTGACCACTCTTTGATGTCTCAAATATCTGGCCAGTTTTTTTTAAGGTTTTGTCATCTTTAACAGTGAGGGTAGAGTAATTCTTTCATATGAGGGTCTCATATGAAATGAGGAATAGTTATTATTATATTGTCATGATTATTTAGCTTAATTTTTTTATGGTTCTACTTTAAAAAAATATTATATTCTCTTTGAGATATTTCAATTGTTTCCAAATTAATCACAGAATTTCTCCTATATGAATTAGTGGGACCATCTCTAATTTTCTGTGGGACATAAAATCATTAAAAATAATCGTAATATAAAAACATTAGTGGGTGACAAAGTTTTGAAAACTGTCCTTTTAGACCAAGTCTACATATCTAAAGTTGTCTAATTTATGTCTTTCCAAATGTAATTCTTATACTACCTATACGAAAATTGATTTTGGTGTTAGTTTTTTTTTTTAAGTTGATTCTCAGGCCTTGTTCTAAATCAGGGGTGTCAAATTCATTTTCACCAGGGGCCACATCAGCCTTGCGGTTGCCTTCAAAGAGCCAAAATAATTTTAGGACTGCATAAATGTAACTACTGCTTAACTATTAAGGAATTGAAATTACATTCGGCCCTTTGAAGGCAACTGCAAGGCTGATGTGGCCCCTGGTGAAAATGAGTTTGACACCCTTGGTCTAAATCTACTGATTTAGAACCTTTGTAGGTGGGCTTAGGTATCTTCATTGTTAACAAGCACACCCCATAATTCTTTTCAGATTGTAGGTATTTGCTGGCCTTACTATTTTATGGTAATAACATACAGGTGGTAATAGCCACATAAACTTGACCCATGAAGTCAGTCTTGTAGTAGGCAGCCCCTCTAGGAAGCAAAGCAGTATCTTCAATTGTCAGCTGTCCAGTTCAGAAACTACACTTCAAGACTGAGCACTTTCTATTTTGAAATTCACACAGTTGCACACCTCAAGGCAGCACCTGCTAACCCACCATGGAGAACACGGTGACTGTTCTCTTCATCTTTGCCTCTATGTCTGAGTCTTAGTGTTCTGCATGATGCCTGGGTTTCTAAACATTGTTGTCTCATCTAGGGTGGTAAGAGCAATAAGCCTAGTAATGCTCTCTTCCCCAAAGCAACTGCTGTTATTGTCAGTGACTGCATACCCCTGAGTTTGACTCCTGAACATAGTGCCACTTCAGGGTTTTTAATTTCAAGGGCTTTATATTTTGCTTTGTGAAGAAACAAGGCTGTAGCCTGAAAGGGAAATATCAAAGTGAAAAAAATGACTTCTTATTTCTTGATTGATTATGAATTTTCCTTTTGAGTTTAAAAATAGTAGAGCACTGCTCTCTACTAGGTAATCATTGCAATGATTTGGAAGCCCTGCAGTGTTGAGAAACAATCTCTTTCTGCTGGTCTCAGCCACATATCACCATGTGTGCGAACATATCACTTCAGACATGTATAGCTGTAGATCGCTGTGTATCAGCCTTCCCCGACACCCCACCCCACCTGAAGTAGCCCTCCTAAGCTCTTTACTCTCTGCTCTGTTGCCTTATTTGATTCCCTTTAAGGAATTCTTCACTGGCTTTTATTTCTGTTTGGTTTTCTTCCTGTACCTGTGTTGTCTCTGTAATGTGAGCTTCATGAGGACTTGCATTTTGTCACTGTTTGCTTCAGATCTTCTGGGTGGAGTGGGAAGGAGAATGGGGATGACAATGGGACTTCACTTGATAGAACACATCTCTGCTCCTGAATTTCTAAGTTGAGCTGACGTGAAGTAGCAGATGATACATACTTACATTCCATTTTACCCTCAGGGGTCTGGATTTCCTGGAATTTCCATTAAGAATATCTCGTATTTCAGCTGTTGCTGACAAAGAACAAAATTTCTACTATTCAAGCACCAAAGTTATGCTCCAAAGTGTGGTTTTGTAACAGGGTGCAGCCAAGAGTGGGGCCCCAGAAAAGGATTTAGAATGAGGATCTAGAGCTCAGGGTGTCCAGGAAATATTAAGATGTCCTCACTACCCACCCCCCAGGTGTCAGTTGGGGGAAGGGACAAATGGAGCAGGGCCATTGAGAGCTGTTTTGCATAGCAACAGTTTTGCAACCAACCTCTGGAATGGTCATTTAACATATCTATAACATAGCCAGGGAGAAGGGAGTGGCTTCTACCCAGGATGTAACTGGGGGCTGGTCCACTGAGTTACAGGGGCTGCATGAGAGCTTGGAGTTGATTGGCTCCACGCCATGGGGCCACATTTGCCCAGACTCACTATGGCAGCCCAGTAGAGCTGGGAAGATATGGGAGTCCTGGCAGGTGTAACCGGTTGTAGGAGGAATCAGAAATGGGGCTACAAAGGAGGACTGGTATGGGGATTTAAAGGTAGACATGGCAACCATTGAGGAGGGAGCCATGCGTTTTGGGGGAGAGTTAGGACCCACTCTTGGCGAGGTGGGAGGGCCACATGGTTTTGCCAGAGTGGGAACCTCTGTAGCCAGGTGAAGAAGAAAGCCACACGCTTTTGGCAGAGTGTGGACCCCTGCAGCTTTGGTAGAAGAGGCCCACGTGGCTTTGAAATGTTCCCTTTGGCTGTGTGGCCTGGGAAGCAGGAGAGACTTTCCGTGGAAGAAGAGTGAAAGAACTCTTTGCCAGTAAGTCATGAGAAGGTGCCACACAACTTTGGACTAATTGGAGATCCTGCCTGGACAGTGACACAGCTGACAGTACCAGTGTCCTGGAAACATGAACATGTGCTTCTTTTCCTGAGATACAGTACCCTGAATTAGGGCAGGGGGAAAAGGAAGCGCTGTGGGCGTCTGTGGTTATCCTAAAAAAACTTTGATATTTTAATGGGGACATTGGGTCACTGCTTTAAGTCTGTATAGCTTTGAATAAACCTTTCCTTTCCTTTTCACAAATCTCTGGCATTGAGAGATGTCTTTCCTCTGGCCGCGGGCAGACAAGCCCAGTAGATATTAGTATACTGTCCTTGGGAGGGGCCCCTGTTGTTCTGTAGCAGTATTTGGCATCCCTCAGTGGGCCAAATATTGCCACCCCTCCTTCGACCTGTTGTTCAGTAACAGTTTCAGGTAGCGAAATCATTAAGGCAGTGTTTAGCATTTTAAAAGGGATGCCTCACCCTGGTTGGTGGCTTAGTTTGTTGTTGCATCAACCTGTAATCAAAAGGTTGTGGGTTCGATTCCC